CCTCTTATTTTTTTATTCTTTGCCAGGTTTTATTTTCTTTTTCTTCTTTCTTCGTCGTCTTCTTCCTCCACTCCTTCGACGTTTGCTCCTCTTCTTTTTCTTCTTCTTTCTTTTTCCTCTTCTTCCTCCACTCCTTTCTTCTTCGACGTCTGCTCTTCTTTTTCTTCTTCTTTTCTACTCCTCTTCTCTTCTTCCACTCCTAGTCTTCTCTTCTCCTCTTCTTCTTCGACTCCTTTCACTCCTCTTCTTCAGTTCCCCCCGCCCCCTCGTCTCCTTCCTCTTCCTCTTCTTCGTTCTCGTTTTCTTCCTCCCCTCATGCTCTTCGTCTACTTCCTCTCCTCCTCTTCATCTTCTTCGTCTCCTCTTCGTCTACTTCCTCTCCTCCTCTTCATCTTCTTCGTCTCCTTTTTTTCGGGTCCCCCCCCCGCCCCCCCCACAAATGTGTACCTGCCCCATTGCTTCTTCCCGCTCTTCCATTCCCTCCTTCCACATCCCTGCCGCTGGCTCTTCATCCTCAACCAACTCCCCCCTTTGTTTTTTTCTTCTCCTCCTTTACTAATTCTTTCCGTTCTCTTCTTTTTCTTCATTTGCTCTTCTTCAAGATCTTGTTTACTCTCTTCTTCTTCTGGTGCTTCTTCCACTCTTCCTCTTCTTCTTCTTATCCTTCTCCTCCTCCCATACCCTGAACTCAACACCCCCCTTACCACTCTCAACCTCGACCCCCCCCCCCCCCCCCCCCCCCCCCCCCCCCTGCCCCCTGGCACACCCCCAAACAATAATTTCAACCTTCCAAGTTTTATTGCGGAATCCGACAGATCTCAGCAAGCACAGTTCGGTCCCGCAAAAAAAAAAAAAAGGAAAAAGAAATTTGGCCTTTGCTGGCCCAGCCTTGTCGTATGCAGACTTCCATGATTCATGGCTCCAGGGCCTTCGCCCGCCCGGGATCCTTGAATATACCATTGCGCACCATGAAAAGTATTGGTGGTTTACTTCACATTTATGGCTCCAGGGCCTTCGGCCGCCCGGTATCCTTCAGTATACCATCGTGCACCTCGAAAAGTATTGGTGGTTTAATTCACGTTTCTAGAGGAACACCCGCCACCCACACCACTTCCTATCCCATGGGGCAATATTCAGACCTTAGCGTTGGTGTGAGAGCAAAGCTGTACCAGCACCTCATCGCAAGAATGTGGTGACTGACAACTGTTGCCAACAGGCAGTGCTAGTGCTGACCACCATGTCAGCCACCCTTTACCACCACACCCCAGCGCCACCCAACCCAACCCAATCCATCCTGCATTAGCAGTGTCTTGTAGACAAAATTGTTGCTACATAGCACCAAACAATATTGGGCAAGCTCCTACTATAGGGTTGTCTATCCCTGTGTGGGGATCCCTGCGCCAGGGGTCCCGGACTCCGGGGATGGGACCCCCAAACCAGGGAAAAGTTCGCACAACAAAAGAAAAATCAGGAAAAAAAAGGGCAGGGTACGCAGTGACCTAGCTGTCACTGCAGGAGAGGGAAAAAAACAAGACCACCATTCGGGGACCTCGATGGGGGCGGGGCCGGGGACAGGCAGAGATGGCCACCAAGCATGGTATAGAGCACAACAAGCATGCCCAGGCACATAAGGTCAATGGGAATTGAGCCCAAACCAGTTATAACTTCTGCTTTTATCCAGGCCTCAATTTGAGTCCTCATCACAGGATATGCCTCTAGCTTTTCCAAGAGGCACAAAGTGTTGATTCAATCAAAGCATTTCGCAATTTCGCTGTCAACACATATTTTTGTCCCTAATGGCTCTAGCCAGGGCTTCCATGGCATCTTGACAACTATGTCCTGGCCTCCATCCATAAGACTGAGGTTCAAAACGGGCTTCCCATTAAACCACCAGTACTTGGCGCAACTATCGGCCGTGGCGCTTTCCCGTTAACGCGCCGCGCCTTTAGGGCTTAGGGATACCGGACCACAATGGCTGGCAGCACCAGCCAAAAACATTTTGAAACGCTACCCCGGCACTTCAGCAAAAATTGGCGCGCAGGGGCATTCCAGGCTCGGCATCGATAGCTGGGCCAAGCATTCGTGGTTCAAGGTCAATGGCAGCGCACAACTTCCTGAATGCAGTTTATGTACCCTACAGATTGAAGCTGACCTGCTGGCCGCCGTCCCCTTCCCTTACCCCCCCCCCCCTCGGAAGCCTATATTTAGCACATTTTCCAACCAAACGCACCCACCCCACGCACGTCTACATTAGCACGTTTTACAACCTTTTCACGGCTGCAATTTTTGAGACAAGAATGCAGACTCCACTGACCAAGCCATGGGGACATTACAGCCCCCCTACAAAGTTGGATATGCAGAGCACTCAGTGTGTATCTGTTACATCTTCGATGCACACGGGTCCTACCGGACCCGACTTAGGGCCGGAGGGACACATCAGGTCCTAAAGGCCCGACCTTGGGGTATTACAGGCCCTCAAGGCCTGATCTTGGACCAGTACCCGACGKGCAGGCCCAAACGGCATTATCGTTTGGGCCTGGCGGCRCTCTTGAGGCTGCCGCCCGCCGGTTGGGGCTGAACCGTCCATCTGGACGGTTCAGGGCATGGCCAGGCCTCGCAGCATTGAGGCYGGCCTCTGCCCCACCGGTATAAAGTACCGGTACAGCCTCACTTGGAGGCATCGACCCACCGGCACTCTACGCGGTGCGGTAAGGTCGGCGCCAGAGCGCCGTTTGAGCGCTATTCTGAGCGCAGGAGGAAGGACAGCAGCAGCGCGAGCTAGCGCAGCGGCAGCAGCGAGGACAGCAGCAGCAGCACGGCGGCCATCGCCGCCTCAGCAGCAGCAGGGCAGGTACCAGGAGGCGAGGATCTCTTCCTCCCTCCACGGTCCCGTTCCTCCCCTCCTCACCTCCGTCTTCTCTCTCTCTCTCTCTCTCCCTCTTCAGACTCCTTCTTCTTCTTCTTCTTCTTCGTCTTCTTCTTCTTCAGAGTGGAGACTTATACTAGTTGGACCGAGATCAGTGTGGAACTTCGATGGTATGAGACTGTGGTACTTACCGGATTGGAGACTTGGAGATCGTTGGGGTTGATAATTGGCGACATCAGAGTTCAAACACCGGTTACATTTGGACTCTGTATCCCCGACATTGGTGACCTATGGTCCTCAACATTTTGATCTTGTTGGATAACATTTTGGACTACCATATCGGTGACCTATCAGATTCTACCTCGGTGACTTTCGGTGCTGTCTACCTTCCCCCACCTCTTCGTCTCTCCTCCCCCATTTCATCTGTGTATGATGTGTACGGGGCTGAGCATCCTCTCTGTATGGCTCAGACCCCACCATCTCACGATTGTATATGTGTGGAGTGATGCTATGTGAGTCAGTCTATGTGAGTCAGTCCGTTTATCAGACTTCCGTTGCATCTATACTCATACTACATTGGTTGATTCTTGGTTCTGCCCATACTCACTGGAGTATGTAACAGTTTTGGTATCGGAGCAGACCATAAAACGGATCTGCTCACAAAGGTAAGTCTGGTTAGGAATTAGATTGTTCTTCAATCTTCCCATCAGCGCTGAATTACTATCGAGTTCAAAGTTGCAAAAATTTTTCTTTTTCGGTGTTCTATTTAGTTCGGCATTTACTTTCAATTCGGTATTCGGACTTATAAGTCGGATTTCTGTTTTCTTCCGATATGCTGCTATTTGAGTTCCGATTGAGTAAAACTAATCCAATAATTGATTAAGTTTCGGATTTCTGATGTTACACGAATCAGGGTTGAATCGGTATCATGTTGAAATTCGGCGTTTCTGATGTCCATTCAGCATTCCGTTTTTTCGGCATTTTTGCTGCAAATCCTATATTTCGTTGTCTTTTGGATTTCCGTTGTCTTTCAGTATTGGGAATTAGGGTTACGAAAATCTTTGGGTTGTAGATCAACTTGGGGGGAATTCGAACGTTTTGGGACCGAAAATCCGGAATTTCGCGGAAATGCGGAAAATTAGGGTTGGGACTGAAATTTTCGCGAAATATTTTTTTCGTTCCCCTTGTCGGAGAAATTCCGAAAATAGGTTTAGGCTTTCAAGAATCGGATTTTGACGATGGAAACTCCCGAAAATTCGCGTTTTTGAAAAATTCGAGCGTTTCTTCTGAAATTTTCCGAATTTTTTTTTAGCACACTAAGCCGTATCTGACCCTCAAACTGCAACTTCCAGGTAGTTCACTTTGTAACGGTGAACTCCCGGACTCAAAGTGATCTCAAAGAAACTTAATCATATACCTTTCAAATTCGTTTATTATCATGATTGCAATTACTATTATTGATTATCTTATTGCAAATAATGATTATTGGTTATCTTTATTACAAATATTATTTTACTGATTATCATTCAGATTTCTTTCGTTAATTATCATTAATTAATTTTATTGATTAAATCATTATTAATTTCTTATTACGAATTTTTGAAGGGTTTACGGGAAATTTATTTTTCCTGTTTGATTAGGTGTCTACAGTCCATCAGTGGGACAGGGGATTGTATGTATATTGCTTGATTGTTCTACCCCTGTTCCCACTCTACCTACCCCCCCTGTAGTTTGTGAACACCGGCACCTCTCAAGTACCGCATCAGTTCAGACTGATGTCAATGGAACAGGACACCGCGGCACTGCCACGGCGCAGTGTCAGGATCGCAGTTCGTGTCCGCCCTGCGGTACCTCCAAGACCCAAGAGATTCAGCAGACGGACGACTCCAGCAGGCATCAAGTACGGCATTGACAGTACAAGACACCACCGGAGATCTTCCCGCATGCCCGGTCCGAGAGGCCAACGAGCCTTTGGATGACTATCGTGGGCGGCTACAGGCATTTACAGACGCCGTAGCCGCCGTCGAGGCTCAGCACGCTGCGGCAGAGGCAGGACGTCAGCGGCTGACCAACGAGGCGGCAGCCGAAGCTCAGCGAACAGCTTAAACTGACAAAGCGGCACGAAACAGACGGACGCGACGAAGCAAATCAACGAACGCATCGATCACGTCGTCACCATCATCGGCGACATAGGTGTTTTCAACGGACCGGACACGATCAGCAGCACGGTGGCCGCCATCAAGACGGACATCACCAAGCTACAGATGAGACCGGACGCCGCTACAAAGACGTTCAAGATGCCGCACTTCGACATCTGCAAGTTCAACGACTACAACAAGTCGGACGCTTTGACATGGTGGCAGCGTTTCCTCACGGAAGCGTCATGCCGCACTGTCCCGGCGAACGACATGTTGAAGGCCCTCTATTTGCAACTGATTGGAGGAGCCCAGGCATGGATGAACCACCTGGCGGCCACCCACAAGTGCACCATCGCCGAACTCCACACGCACATCACGTGGAAGGAGTTCGAGCAGCTATGGTTCACCCGGTTCATGGTCCGCAACGTCGTGAAGGCGGGCATGAATGAGGTGTACACATGCTCTCAGGGGAACATGCCAACTCGAGACTGGACAACGAAGAGGCAAGAGATAGTGACCACACCAGGCTTCGACTTGACGTTCCCAAATCAACGATCCGAATTCTTCTCGCGATCATGCGCGGGATTGCCGTCGGCATTTGGTAATGATTACGACAATACCACATTCCAAGGCATTCTGGATCGAGCGAACTTGGTCATCCAAACGGACGACAAGGCAGCTAACGAGAGACAATCCCAGCCGCACTATGTGGCTAAGCAGGCCTATCAACGTCCGGCACATAACAATACCGTGATTTCTGAGGAAACCGACGACCACCACGCTGCAGCAGCATCCTCGAGTGATGGAGGAATTGTCGCAGCGCTCCCGCCGAAGCGTCCCAGGAGAGTTCGAAAGAACAAGGCGACACAAGAGACGGCAGCGACGGGAGCAAGGCAGCCATGGACGGCATATACAATCACCAAGAAGGTCTATGACCTACGTCAGAAGTACCGATACTGCCCTTGGTGCAACGAAGTCACCCATGTGACCGCACAATGCCTCCAAAAAGGCAAGGCACGAGTACCCCGTCCAGCAAACTCGGGAAACTGCATTACGCAAGGAGAGGGGCGACGTCTCTCCTCACTCCGCCAGACCCGGTTGCCTTTCTAGCAATCGATGTCACTACCGGGGAGCATGCGTTAGTCGCTGATTCTCGTGCTACGTACGAGGATTACGCCGCCCAGCTGGTACCACCATTAGACCAGCCTAGCAACGTGCATGAAAATTGCGTATGCGCAGTCTGTACACTGTCGGCAAGTGATCCAGTCAGTTCGCCACTGCTTTCCGAGGACTCGACATCGTGGTCAAGACTTGAGGAGCTTGACCCGCTCACGAGAGAGGATTTCGCTTGGATACCTCTACCCTCGACCGAAACATTGCCAAGGCCGCATTGCAACGCCTTGATGGCAAATCTACGCTTCTACTTGCACACTACAGTACCAACTCCGTTGACGAACGACGGGGTAGCGGTTGTCGATCTCCGCTCCTACCTTGCGACAACCTGTAGTGCCTTGATTGATTGCGGAGCGTCTCGCAACTTCATGAGTCAAGCCTTTATGGCCCGCGCAGGTCTTGGCCCGCGCATTCGAAGGAAGACGCAACCCACTCAAGTTACACTCGCGGACAGCTGCACGCAAAAGTCAATTGACCGTTGCATTGACGGCGTTCTGGTCTACTTTGCGCCACTTGCGTGCGAGCCGGTGTCTTTTGACATCCTCGACACCAAGTTCGACATGATAGTCCCATGTACGATGGCGACCCCTCACACTTCGATTGCTTGTCACGTGGTTTCCGTTGCGAGAATTCGCGACGCCATTGCTCGAAATGACGTCGAGGAGATGGGCCTTGTATTCTTGCATGCTCTCCCCTTGCCGGACGGACCAGCCGCGTCACCGCCGGACCCACGCATTTCTCACCTCTTGGACGAGTATAGAGACGTTTCGAGGCTCCCACCAGAACGGTTCCGGATCGGCCCATACGTCACGGGATCACTCTCGAGGCTGGCGCCGCCCCTCCGCGTGGATGTATCTACCGCATGAGCGAAGAGGAACTCGAGATGCTTCGTGCACAACCCGATGATCTTCTCGACAAGGGCTGGATTCGCCCTAGTTGCTCGCCATACGGTGCACCTGTTCTCTTCATCCGGAAGAAGAACAAAGATCTACGGTTATGCATTGACTATCGAAAACTTAACGCACAAACCGTAAAGAGCGTCGGCCCTCTCCCTCGGATTGATGATCTCCTTGAGCGGTTAGGCGGCGCGACGTACTTCTCGAAGTTGGATTTGAAGTCAGGTTACCACCAGATTGAAATCCAGCCTCAAGACCGGTACAAGACCGCGTTCAAGACGCAGTACGGGCATTTTGAGTGGGTCGTCATGCCATTTGGCCTCACCAATGCCCCCGCAACGTTTCAAGCAGCGATGACGTCTGAGTTTCGGGACTTGCTCGATCATGATATCTTGGTTTATAGTAGGACGTTGGACGAACACATCATACACCTTCGCGTTGTTTTGAATCGTTTGCGACTAGCCAAGTACAGAGCGAATCTCGACAAGTGAGATTTCGCCAAGCAAGAGCTTGAGTACTTGGGTCATTTTGTCACGCCGAAAGGCATTCGTCCCTTAGCGGGCAAGATCCAAGCCATCGTGGATTGGCCGGAACCCCGTTGCACGACGGATGTACGCTCTTTCATGAGGTTGGCTGGATATTATCAGCGATTCGTCGAGTCATACTCGAAACTAGTTGCTCCTTTGTCGAGACTTCAGTCCCCGAAGGTGCCCTTCGAATTCGACGACGCAGCCCGTGGCGCGTTCACTACGTTGAAGGCAGCGATGCAAGCCGCACCTGCCCTCCGTATATACGACCCCACCCTACCCACCCAAGTATATACGACCCCATCCTTAGTGACCGTGGTGCGCTGTTGGAACAGTGTCACGAGGACGATTGACATCCGGTTGAGTATTTCTCCCAAAAGGTGCCTCTCGTCAACACTCTCGACGACGCTAGGAAGAAAGAGCTACTCGCGTTCGTCACCGTTCTCAAGCGGTGGCACCACTTTCTTCTCGATCGTCGGCGTTTCAAATGGAATACGGACAACAATCCGTTGCCCTTTTATAAAACGCAAGACACGGTCACTAGCACGATCRGTCGATGGATGTATTACATCGATCAGTTCGATTTTGACCCGTGTCACATTCCTGGTCCCGCCAATCGAGCTACCGACGCCCTTTCACGACGGCCCATCTTTTGTGCCATTGTGACCACGGCATTCGACCTCGATGACAATCTGCAGCAGCATTTCGTCAAAGGCTACAAGCCCGATCCGACTTACTCTACGCTTTACGCAGAGCTTTCATTGGATCACCCGCCGGCTAGCCACTATCGGATTTCCGACGGGTTCCTTCTCCTTCACACGAGAGGAAAGGATTTGTTAGTTGTGCCCTAAGATCGCATCTTACAGACTCGTCTTCTCGGCGAATTCCACGACGCACGACTTTCGGCACACCTTGGCGTGAACCGCACACTAGCACGCCTCCGCTAGCGTTTTCACTGGCTCGACGTCCATCATGATGTCACGAGGTACATTTGAGTCATGTGCAGTTTGCCACCGTAACAAGGGTCGATCTCGAGTCCCCTCTGGCGAACTGAAACCGTTGCCGATTCCTCGTGCACCACGCCTCTCCATTGCTATGGACGTGACAGGCCCGTTTACCCGCGATCGCCACGGCCATGACGGTATTCTCACGGTCGTTGACCGTTTGAGCAAGTATGCTCGCTTCCTTCCTTGCAAGTATCATGCTGCAGCACCTGAGCTCGCACGACTCTTGCACACCGGTTGGATTACCAACCAAGCTGTTCCGGAAGACAGTGAGCGACCGAGATACTCGTTTCATGTCAGCCTTTTAGACTTCTCTCATGGCTGAGTCCGGTACGACAATGAAACCGAGCTCGGCTCGGCACCCGCAGACGGATGGTCAGACGGAACAAGCGCACCAGACCGCTCAGATGATGTTGCGTACCCTCATCCGTCCCGACCAGAAAGATTGGGTTGACCGGCTTCCCGACATCGAGTTCGCCTACAACACTTCGGTGCACCCGACGATCTGCGTCACACCATTCGAGCTACATCATGGTGGAGAGAAAGCACGGATCTTCGCTGATCTCATTTTGCCACAGGCTGCCGACATATACGTCCCTTGCTCTCCCGCTTCCATCTGGAAGTACCGGGACTTGCTGATCAAAGCCCGCGCAAATATGCAAAAGGCTCAGATCCGCATGCAGCAGCAGGCTAACCGACGTCGACTTCCATGTCCTTTCCGCGAGGGAGACCTTGTTTGGGTCCTCTCCGAGGAATTTGCACTCGTGCACGATGTTTCGCGCAAACTCCTTCCGAAATGGTTCGGACCATGGGAAGTCACTTCTGCCGTTGGAGACGACCCCACAGGTCCTTCCTTCGTGATCAACATTCCACCGCACCTAACAGTGCATCGGGTCTTCCACGCATCGAAGCTGGCCATCTACACACCACCTTCAACTGACGAGTTCCCTGGACGTCGATCACAAGATCCGCCTTCTATGGACGGACATCAGGAAGTTGACCGAGTCATCACGCACCGCAAGTATGGCAACAAGCCAAGGCAGTACAAAGTCACATTCAAGCAATGTGCGTCTGATGACACTCGGTGGATTTCCAATACAGATTTGCAGACTTCTGCACCCCTCATCTTCGCCGATTATGAGAAGCGACACCTTGCTAAGGACGCAGCTCGTCCCGCCCGACCCATCCCGGTATCGGAGAGACAACTTCGCCCTCGCAGGTAGCTCGGTCTTTTAAGAGGGGGAGTGTGTTACATCTTCGACGCACACGGGTCCTACCGGACCCGACTTAGGGCCGGAGGGACACATCAGGTCCTAAAGGCCCAACCTTGGGGTATTACAGGCCCTCAGGGCCTGATCTTGGACCAGTACCCGACGGGCAGGCCCAAACGGCATTATCCTTTGGGCCTGGCGGCACTCTTGAGGCTGCCGCCCGCCGATTGGGGCTGAACCGTCCATCTGGACGGTTCAGGGCATGGCCAGGCCTCGCAGCATTGAGGCCGTCCTCTGCCCCATCGTTATAAAGTACCGGTACAGCCTCACTTGGATGCATCGACCCACCGGCACTCTACGCGGTGCGGTAAGGTCGGCGCCAGAGCGGCGTTTGAGCGCTATTCTGAGCGCAGGAGGAAGGACAACAGCAGCGCGAGCTAGCGCAGCGGCAGCAGCAAGGACAGCAGCAGCAGCACGGCGGCCATCGCCGCCTCAGCAGCAGCAGGGCAGGTACCAGGAGGCGAGGATCTCTTCCTCCCTCCACAGTCCCGTTCCCCTCCTCACCTCTGTCTTCTCTCTGTCTCCCTCTTCAGACTCCTTCGTCTTCTTCTTCTTTAGAGTGGAGACTTATACTAGCTGGACCGAGATCAGTGTGGGACTTCGGTGGTATGAGACTGGTACTTACCGGATTGGAGACTTGGAGATCGTTGGGGTTGATANGCTATTCTGAGCGCAGGAGGAAGGACAGCAGCAGCGCGAGCTAGCGCAGCGGCAGCAGCGAGGACAGCAGCAGCAGCACGGCGGCCATCGCCGCCTCAGCAGCAGCAGGGCAGGTACCAGGAGGCGAGGATCTCTTCCTCCCTCCACGGTCCCGTTCCTCCCCTCCTCACCTCCGTCTTCTCTCTCTCTCTCTCTCTCCCTCTTCAGACTCCTTCTTCTTCTTCTTCTTCTTCGTCTTCTTCTTCTTCAGAGTGGAGACTTATACTAGTTGGACCGAGATCAGTGTGGAACTTCGATGGTATGAGACTGTGGTACTTACCGGATTGGAGACTTGGAGATCGTTGGGGTTGATAATTGGCGACATCACAGTTCAAACACCGGTTACATTTGGACTCTGTATCCCCGACATTGGTGACCTATGGTCCTCGACATTTTGATCTTGTTGGATGACATTTTGGACTACCATATCGGTGACCTATCAGATTCTACCTCGGTGACTTTCGGTGCTGTCTACCTTCCCCCACCTCTTCGTCTCTCCTCCCCCATTTCATCTGTGTATGATGTGTACGGGGCTGAGCATCCTCTCTGTATGGCTCAGACCCCACCATCTCACGATTGTATGTGTGTGGAGTGATGCTATGTGAGTCAGTCTATGTGAGTCAGTCCGTTTATCAGACTTCCGTTGCATCTATACTCATCCTACATCTGCACCCTGCAGAAAAAGTCCAAATGGGATAAAAACACCAAGCACCAAAATTAAGTTGTGACAGAACGGCTGGACAGCACCTTCCCTTTCGTTTTTTATTTTAATATTTGACGTTCAACATACCATCTCACACCGATCATAACAGCGTACGAATTAACCAATCCCATCACGTGGCAATCTGGCAAAGGGTAGAGGAGCCCTTAGGGGCAGACTTCAGGAGTGCTATGCCATGCCACGCATTCATTGCATTGTTGATTGCTGAAGCTCGCCCAGCTCTGTTTAGACAATTTCCTGCAAATTGTCATCTTATACGTGGCATGGCAACAAATTGTCATCTTATAGGAAAAACGAGAAATAAAAACATATCAGAGGACACTACTAAGAACTTCCAAATTGTCATCTTATACGTGCTTCCTTCCAGGATATGGAAAAAAAAGAGGCAACAAAAAAAAAGAACCCAAAGCACCCCTGGAATCCTAGCCACCTGAAAAGCATCATTTGTATCATCTTCCTCTTTATAGGGTCATTTCCTTTCCTACCTGTGAAGGAAGAAAGCTACAATCGCTTCGCTGCATGACCACGTGGACACAATCTAGCAGAGGAAGGTTCCCACCCATCCCCCATTACACAGGCCCACTCCCTATCCTCCCACCGTATGCTCAGGGAAAAAATACACATGCATCTCTGTTGCCCACAATTCTTTTGTACTACTTTCAAGCCCACGATTCTTCGGCACACCTCCCAAGACCAGGCAGACCAACCGGTTTATCCTAGTGCGAGGCTATGCCCGCTTAGCCCCTACGGGCCTTATTTGCAGCAAGGTCGGCCGCCCTAAGTGAAGGCAGGCACGACAGGCCCTCAGGGCCTCGTTTTCAGGGTACCCCCGCAAATGGGGAAATTCAGGCAGTTGCACAGCATCAGTTGGTTGAATGAACTGAGGCCCTGGGCCGCCTGTGTGAATGAATGTAAAGCAGGCCCTGGGCTGGGTACGGGTACCGGGCCAAGCACAGGCCGAAAGCAGTTGGGCACATGCAACTACTTCAGGCCCAAYRCCTGCATTCCTCGTGACTGGGCCTCAGGCTACCGKGGCCTACTGGAAGCTTCTTGGACTGGACGCAGGCAGGCCACTGGGATATAGGAAAGGGCCTGCCTCCTCATTTGACATTCGGGTGCTGGCTGCATGCGGCGACAGCGCTGCTGCGCTATTTTGCTGGCTGGCGCCCTCGCACTCACGGGCGAGTGTGGAAGAAGCAGGCAGCCATAGACACGCTGCCTGCTGTAAGCTGGGTTGGGCGCAGGTTGGTCCTTGGGTGCTAGAGGCATCTGTGCGGTGAGGATCGGGGTTGAGAGCGAAGCGAGAGTCATACCTGGTGCTTGAGGCGAGCGACATTGGCTGCATATGCTCGTACTTCGGTGAAGCTGTTGATGTCAACTTCGGCATTGTAGTAGTAGGCTAGATAGGATCTGCCATCTTGTAGTCTGGGCGCCGAGCGCCAATAGGAGACCAACTCTTGTTCTTTGTTGATGATGATGAGAGACAACTTCAGCATTGTCAATTATGAACTATTGCTGTGTTCTTATTTGGTATAACTCGTGATGCCATTCTGCTTATGGTTCGAGGTCATGGCTATTTGGTCACTCATGTATGATGCTGTTTGAGTTCTGGAATTCGCTATCGCTCATCTTCCTTCACTAGGCTTATAGCCAACTAAAAATTAGAGTCTGCAAAATTCCCACGAACCACCCCAATAGGCGATAGCCAACTAAGAATTAGTCTGCAAATTTCCCAAGAACAACCCCAATAGGGGACGGCAAGTCCGGTGACACCAATTTGCATTGGCACCATGGAAGGAGGCAGAGGTACAGTCGAGAAGGTCGCTTCAGGGCTATACTCTGAGGTGGTGGTACTCCACAGAAAAAAAACGCTTGCCTCCTGTGTAGATAAACACCAGATAATGCAGAGCATATCTTTCGTCAACTTGGATTCCACATCTAATTGTGCCATTTCACTTCCAGTTTCTTGCCCAAGCAACTCGCCCAATGTCAGTATCCATGCCACCTCCTTCACAACTGCGATGAACCGTCAAGATGAATGTAGAGCCATCAAAGACTGTCAATCGTACCAAGACTTCGAAAGACCATTCCAGTGAAGACGTCCAGGGACTGTTCGCCATGTCCGTAAGTTTCAATTATGCGTACTGCCGAATGCAAGGCATATATAATTAGCGTTCCCATTCAATGAGCACTTTCAGCCATCATGCTCTTCCTGTCTCTGAGGTTCAAATCCCTTGAGGAGGAGGGTACATCCTTTCAAATGGATCGCATCGTGAGGATAACCAAGCCGACACAAAAGCTTTCCACCATCACATCGCACCCAGGTAAACGGAGTTCAGGAAACCACATCGGATCAAGTACGGCGGATCAAGTACGGCGTGATTGTGATTGATTTGCTTCTCCGCAACTTCTTCCGTTCACATACCAGAGGCGAGTCGCTGCACCCTCAGCAACTTCGGCAATGATGTTTACATATGGGAGAACCCAACAGACAAAATCACTGCATGTCTGGGCAAATAGGCGCATGAATGCAGTCGACATGCTGCAGGCGAGTTGCTACACAATCCACAACTTTTATAAGGCAATTCAGAGAGCCAAAATCTCTGCATGTCAGGGGAAAATATAGGTACGTGTGCTACTGGATTCAAAAAGAGCAAGGGAGGTTGCTTGACAACTGGACCACTTCAGGTATGTTGTGCTGCTGTGGCCCTAAATCTCGTGGACAAGAGTTGCTAGCACCGTGACCAGAAAACAACCATTCTTGCTTCTGCGCACCGTTTCTCCGACCACCAAATATCCAACTCCCACACATAAGAGACTGTCACGTGTTTGCGCTCACAACATCCCAACCCTCCCTCGACGAAAGAATCCTCCTCTATGCACTTACCCCCAGTTCAAATTGCCAATCAACAGTCAGTGCCTCCAGCACGGAGGCAAAGAAAGAGGAGGATTGCTTCCCGATTGCCGAGCACGCCGAAAGTGATACCCTGCGAGGAATAACAACCCACAGCGCCCAGCGAGACGATCCATGTCCAGCAAAGTGCCCTAGCGCATGACGCGTAGGAACGAGCATGCATGTCCTCCTCCCAACTCCCTGGAATCTGTAGGCCCTCCCTCCGATGGTTGTTTTGCGGACTCTAAACATTCCCAAATATACAGAACCCTCTGACATGTGCTCTCTCTCTCTCTCTCTCTCACACACACACACACACACACACACATTTAGGAAACCACTACAGTGCAATCCAGAAGACGGCACTTTCATTCATTTGACTGAACTGTTGTTAACATCTTCAACCACCAGTACTTCATTACTATTCCTATATTCTTTATTGTCTACTCTGTATATGAATATGTATACATATGTCTAATTCTTAAGAATATAATTCTTTCTGTCTCTGTAACTAAAAATGCAATAAGAAAAGAATCAATAATTTCTTACTTCATGCTCATTTATTAGCCAGAACAGAGTCACAATTCTCCTCAACAAGTTGATTCTTTTACTCTTATTGATTTGTAGAACCCAATAGTCTTATGCTACGTAGAAAACCCATCTACAGATCAAAACTTGAAAACTGAATATGACGTGTAATCTTTAGGACAAAAATTTTGTGCTTCGATAGAATAACTACCAGTGCCCGACTTCCTGCATCTCATTTTCCAAACCACTGTGGAAAAAGGGGCAAGGGCCTTCCCGGTGCTCCCAGCCATACCCTGCATTAACTGGCCCGTGCACGTGGAGCGGCTGGGCAGTGTACTACTAATAGCTTAATCCTCCACCAGTGCCCCGCAGACTCTTTTCCTGAAAGGCTATGCTGCTAAAGAAGGTCATCAATGGACCCGATCATGGTACCTTATTCGACAGTAGCTCCACCCTGTAAGGGCAGGATGAAAGTGAAGGGGCCCTACATAGTACACAGGTAGGTGGTTCAATAACAAAAGAAACTGCCCATCTCTCAGCTCAGGATGAAAGTGAAGGGGCCCTTGCTGTAAAGCAACCCCTGCCATTCAACTACCTCAACCCTTAATCCACCACTACCTCGGAGCCGCTTTTCGCCAAGGCGGAAAATAACCCGCGCATCGAGAATTGCCAAGGGCCAACCCGGCATTTCGAGTTTGCTTTTGGCCGGCGTCCAGTTTACATTTTCTATCCTCTGAAGAACTCAGAAAATTACATTTTCTACCCTCCACAGTTTAAAAGAGGTAGTGCCAGTTTAAGGGTGCGGTTGTAGTACATGTGTTACCTCGTCTTCTGGAACCAGCTCTTTCAAAGGGGCACCTGTTTCAAAGGGGCACCTGTTTCAAAGGGGCACCTGTTTCAAAGAGGTGCTTTGTTGGAAGGCACTGAAACCACACCACACTGCGAACCACAAAACCATCAGACAAGTATTGGAAAAGGCGGAACTGGATGCGGGCTCTTCAGCCACCGACCTCGCCTCCAAAGGCGGCCGGGCAGTCGACACAGAAGCGCTAACCAAACCACAAACTGGACCTACAAAGCCCCCGCCAGATGAGGAACGTCACCCATTAAACCCCACCCTTGACTGGGTACCAAAGAACAGCAAACCACCAGCAGAGTACAATTTTTTTATTTTTTTTTCCGGGCTGGCAGCACCAGCCATTTCGCCGCAGTACAACCCTTCATCCAAAGAGCCCGGATTGATGCATTTTTTGATCCTCAAGTTTGCCTGGCGAGGTACCAGTGTGGTTTAAATCTGCCATCCACCCATCTGTTAAAACTTCTCCGCCGCTCAAGTTATAATAATGTAAGAGACCATCAAGGGTCGAGAACGGTTCCACTTCATCCTCTTCCCAAAAGTGGCTCGCTGCCTGAGAAAGCTCCAACCAAACGTTTGCTCAAAACGCGTTATCGGCAAAATTTTCACCAGGGGCTTGCATCTTCGCCGCAATGCTGACCACAATAGCTCACCCGAAAACTCATGACCGACAGACATGAACCCCTCCAACATTGCAAAAGCCCAACATACAGAGGCACAACTATACGCTAAACTGAAATTGCAGAGGTTTGCAGGCACCACCAGGTTCACCAATCGGTACCTCGCACAACTCCATGGCAGAGTGCCGACTTTCCATGATGGCATACAGTGTACACTCTGTACACAACCGCTTTCTGAAGCGGCACTATTTCCAGGGAAGGAGCAAGGACACTCTACAGGGAACCAAGAACATGCAGCAGTGAAGGAGCCATCATGGCCATTCGTTGGTGGTGTCCTCGATGGCTGTCCGAGGTTTTCCCCACAAAGCGCACAGGACAAGGAGAACAGCACCGCGCATCAAAAGTACCCCCCTGCGCAACTGCCAGAAACAGCCACGGATGCCCCAAAACAGCCGGCAAGTACCCACACGTCAAACCCACCAGCTGCACATGAATGTCGCGTCCTCAGAGAGATGCTTTAACCTTCTTGGCGTTCTTAATGAAGTACAACGCTTCCAAAACTGTCAAAAGGACCCAGGGAACGCTTTTCCTCCCCTACTACACCACCTATTCACTCCCTGGAACACACCAACGGCAACGGCAAGAGTTGTTTAGATACATTAGAGTTCATTCTACACGAACTGAACAAGAACAAACCATCATCATACCGGGCATACCCCCCAATGTTTCCGTCTCACCACCAACTTGCTCGCTCCACAGAGCGTAACAGCCTCATTCCGAACAAATCTCCAATGCAATAAGACGAGCAAAGCGACCGAGCACAGATAAGCCGCACTAAACAAGACGAGGCAAAAGCAACCCCATGCACTACACGCAAGTGTGGGGGTAGGGGCATTAGCATATACCGGCAGCACAAGCATTGAAAATCACAAAGGAACAAAAGAGGCATTTCCCACAAAACGACGATCGCACGTGCAAGGACGGAACAGCCCTTTCGCAAATCATACCAAAGTTGTCTTCCACATCAGATCCTGATTTTATTCAATAAAAAGAGTCAGCGTACAGGCCAGAACCTCATGCTAGGATGACATAAATTTCACCACAGTTATTACCACAGGGCAGCAATAAATTTCAGGACTCTTTTCAGCAAAAGAGCATCAGCAAAACTACACCACGAGATCAGTCCCAGTGAGAGAACACTAGCATTCGCACGACCCTCAGCAAAACTACACCACGAGATCGGTCCCAGTGAGAGAACACTAGCATTCGCACAATCGCACAGGATAGACATACAATGCTTCCAAACACACATACAATAGCTTCATCAAATGCAAGACTTGCAACCTTAGAAAAGACTTGTGAAACCAGAACCAAATAGCCGTCAAAGCCAAATTCATAAGATTCAACACTGTCATATGTTCCTCGGCTACATCACGCTGGAAAAGAAACAGCAGTGCAAAAAATGAACCAAGCCAGGAATTTAACGCACAGAATTCACATCCATATCACATTCTTGCAGCATCCAATAGTCCACCACTGAGTGCCAACACATTATATGAAGAAAGAGAAGGCAGCTCCACTACGTCGACCATGTCTTGACGACAACAGTCAGTAGTGACAATACTTGACAACAAAACCATCGATGACAGCATGTGGTATAGTGTCCTCATTAGGAGGAGATGCAAACATACAGCTCTGCATATGTTCGATGACAGATCTTCAAGGCTTTGAGGACACTATCCCACATGCCTTGAAGATCATAAAACAATTTTGGCAGGAGGACATGCATACATGCATACATGCCTTGAGGACATGCATACATGCATGCAGGTATGTTTGTGAGGAGGCAGGCATAAGAGATGAAGATCATAAAACAATTGAGGACATGCATACATGCATGCAGGTATGTTTGTGAGGAGGCAGGCATAAGAGATGCGCAGAGAGAAAGAGATGTTGAATCCCTACACATCACCTGGAAGTGCCTGCACTGATGATCTTCAAGGCAGAGTAATCGCATTACTCTACCGGCAAACAAAGCTGCTCAGGCCCTTGCTTGTCCCTACCTGGTCTCCAAGCCACCTACCCAATTCGTGATTGACGTGGATGTACGCTCATTCACCTGCCTGGCCAGCTACCCACTCAGGGTCAGGAAAGCCCTGATGACACACCCAAAAAAACTTTGTCCTGCTTCAAACACAGACACACAGGCCAACACTGCACAGGTATGGTGCTGAACAAATCACTGCCCAAAAAAAGAAGAGAACGACTATGCCGATCATCACCCAATCCTGCACATAGCATTCACAGACACAGTTAAAATGTCCCACAGCACAGGTTTACCAGGAAATTCAACAGTAGATAAGTAGGCAAACCACATCATCATCATCATACATCCTAGTCATTTACGTACCTCACCACATCATACATCCTAATCGTTTACGTACCTCACAAAGTGTGAACAGGGAGGGCACTGAGCTAAAAAATAGCAGACTTCTGGTTTCACGTTTCAATAACAACGTCGTCAGCCCATTCAGAACACACCTGGGGACTTTACACATCAAGGTATGTGGCTTGGGCACCTGCACATCCAGAGGCATTCCGACTCATCTAGTCCTCTTCGCATTTATTAGAAACGTTCGTGGGATATCTATGCACTTGGCCCTCCCATGTATTATTCAATAATAAGTTACGCTACACAGGTAATATTACGACTGCTGCACGAACTTGGGTGAAACAGCGATCAGCTGTCTGTCCACTGCTTCCGCAGCTATCATCAGATAACTAGTTTTTCGAGAGTCTGTAGATCTCAGTCCTGGATTAGGCAGTTCGGAATTCAGCAGCAAAAACCCTAAGCGCATAGACGTGCCTCGACACTCGACGTCGTAATTGGACGACTATACGAATACAAACTGGCAAGACCGACGACAAAATCAAGCATGACAGTTCAGGATCAGGTGGGGTGCAAGGGGGATGAAAGTCGTTCAGTGCAAGAACAACAGCATCAGCTGCAAGAAAAAAAAAAAGAAGGTGCTGCAGCCATGACATGGGAGATCAAGGAGCCTAGGGAGTCACTTTATACATGCCAGACCGTGTTTTCGAATCGCGTCCACATCCATACTATAGCTTTGAGAGCCATAGCCACAGGGAAAGAAACAGGGGGAAAAGTAATCGCTTCCACGGACATGGACAGTCAAAAAAATAGGAACATCGCAGGCTAAACATTTCCATGGAGATGACACCATAGCAAACAAGAATCTACAAAGGGAAAGAAAAATCTACCGAAAGAGGCTCGTCACATTGAGGTCACCTAGTGTTGCCGTATACATGCGCCTTCGAGTTAGTATTCAGCCTCGGGACATCCACATACTAGTCAGTAATGTCACGCAAACTTTCCCAGTATTGGACACAACTGCTACCATTCTGAGACGAGCTGGCGGCGCCCGCGACGCACACGAATGGGAGACCTCCTTGCTCTCTGATCAGACCACCCAATTGGACACACGGTGATCCGGCCCATTGCCGTAACGAGCACTAGCTCTTTGAAGCCCTGCTCCTTGTGTCAGAGCAACTACCAGGAGCGAAGTTCGCAGCTCATGGAGAACATAAAGTGCACCGCAAACGGGGAGCTGACTACATACATTCCAGCATAGCACGTCAGTCTGACGACGTCCATGATGCTTCCCTGCTTGAAAGGGTATTGTTTAGGTACGCAGCATCAGGACCGATACTAACTTAACTAAGACAGAGGGCCAGGAGGGAGGGAGGGAGGGAGGGAGGAGGTCAAAGAGAGGAAAGGAGAAACAAGAGAAGAAAGGCAACGGAGGAAAACAGGATAGAGGACAAGAGAAGCTGAGGAGACAAAGGCTCCAACCGAGGCAGAAATGGAGGGAGACAACACAGGCAAAAGAAGGCCGACAGCAAGCACAGAGGTGTGGCGCAAGGGGGAGCAAGAAAGAGATGGAGAAAAAGAAATATCAAAGGGGACCACAAGAGAGCAGCCTGGAGAAAGGGACAGGGGGCGGCCGGGGGGGGGGGGGGAAGGCCAGAGGAAGAATGGACGGGGGGGGGTGGATGGAGAAGACAAAAACGAGGATGGCGAGAACAGTGGAAGAGATGGAATTTTGGTTGGGAAAGTCCGGGTGAGTAAAAAGAGGAGGAGGCACAGGAAAGAGCAACAGGAGGAAACAGGGGAGGGCGAAGCAGCAGCACATAAGGAGGGAGGAACGGAGATGCACACCATGT